TAGCGGTGCAAAGAAATTACTACTGTGGAAAGCATCAGAGAGAAGGTGAGTATTGCATAACACCACCATGAGTTGTGTTTTAAAATGAACTTGTCAGGATAGAAACATATTATTATTGATCTCTATTTCATCTTCTTTATTATTTCTCTACTACCCAGGACTGGTATGTGTATATCATGAGTTGATACATCTAGTAAGCAACTTACTGAGCAGTGAAAAGAGCATACGAGTGCCTGCCCTGGATTCTGCCCTTTTGAAAACAATGATAGATCCCACATTTCTATTGCATTTAAAGTGTGGTACAATTTCCCGTATTTTTTAAAAATCTTTTTGTTCATCAGGTTGCTAGTGCAGGAGAGGAAAAGTACAAGTTAAATTAGATGCATAATTGGATAGGATTTGAAAGTGGTATAACATTGCTCATAATAAGATTCCTTCTATCATATAATATTTCATTAGCGTGTAGTAATTATTGTTTCTGAAGGCTGACATCCAGTTGTAATAATAATGATTAGCCTATAATAAAAATCAATTAGCAGTAACAGGTTAATTTTTTTTCCTTGATTAACAATTATTACAATAAGCATTTAAAACTACTATTTATTAACTATAGTAGGCATCAACAACAGCCAGTAGGCAATTCCTTTTCTTTCCATGGAGTTTTTTGTGCCATTGGTATCCTCTTTTTTATTGGCCATTGTATAGTGAGGGGTGGTTGTATCAATGCACAGTTGGTTTAATGACCTTGTTATAAAACATTACAGAAGTGGGAAATCAGCAGAGCCAAGTAAGACATGTAAAAGATCTGCACTACATGTATCTCAACTACTCTCATCTTCTCAACCCTATGGTGCCTTCAGTAACCTCTACCTCATTCACCTGCCTCCCTGTTGCACCATTGTGAGGTCAAGGGAAATTGCCATATATACCTCACTTGGAAATAGGATGTTTTCACCAGAGATCCATTGGTGGATCCAGGTGGAGGGATTGCAGTATTGAGTGCAGGTTAGCTTTATAGTATCTTACTTTGATTTACAGTGTATTCATGGCTAGTAGATGACAAGAATGCATCATAAGGGTCTTGCTTAAAGTGTTACTAAACCCATAACAGTAAAATCAGTCTGTATATGCTGTAAAGCATGCTTGTTATACTCACTGTGGATCCTCTGCATTGTGTAAAAAGGCTGTTTGCTCCTGACTTCTCTGATCCTCCTCTGCTTCCAGTGCCCCCCTCTTATCTCCTGATAAGACATATCGTGTTGAGTCACTCTGCACATGCTCAGTTTGGTGTGTATTTTTCTAGAGAGTTTTTTTTTTTTAATGGGAGAGTGCATGTGATCAGCACAGGACCAATCAGAACTGTCCAGACAGAGGTCAGGGGTTCTGCATCCTCCTTGAAAATAATGAGAACTCCTCCTACAAGATTTAACCAGTGCTTTGCTGGACACTGATAGAAGTCACAAGACTGATCTAACTGCTGATGAGAAAAGGTATTTAGCAGTTTATATTTACTAAAACAATTGCATGTTTATATTTACTAAAAAAATTGCATTTGCATGTTCAGTGTACTGTAGGAGACCAGATATAGTGAATGCAGGGTCCTGAGTTTAATAAAACTTTAAGAGAGAGCATGTTCATGAAGCATATTTGGTTGAGGAACAGTGTTCTGTCTTAAATGTCACAATATGCCAAAAGCTGATGTTACAAAATCCACACGTTTATTTCAACAAGACGACTCATTTGTAGTATCTAATGTAGTTTTAAATCCAGATTTTAGGCATACTTAGGGATCTTTTACTGGATTTCTTGCAGGAATAAAATTCATATAAAATATATTCTAAATTTCCTATCGACTGGGGCTAGTCCAAACAACTAAAATGGTAAAGCTGGAAGAATTAACAACTAAGCAAGGTAGAATCAGGAGACAGGAGTACAGTTGAGTATACAAAAACAAACATTACAAAACATTAACATTAGCTTCTATGTCAGAACACAGAACGGCTTTTTAAGCGTAGACCCTTTAAAGGAAGGCCTCAGAGATACAGAAACATGTAGGATCAAACAGATTTAAAGGTTTTCCTACATCAATATAAAAAGATTGCATAACTATATTTTTAAGGAAATAGGAGGCCATTAACATCTCTTTTAAGGCCTCACAAGGCTTCAACTTGTAAACCCTGGTTTGAAGACAAGTTTGTTCACGCTTTAACAAAGAGTTTGTAAAGCTTGCAGCCAGCTTTATGCTGCTTTCTGCACCTTCAAATTGAGCTTTTGAATTTTTAACATAAAGTCAAAATCCAAAACTAATGCTCTAGTTCTGCATTCACACTATTGTTTTCATAACATGTACAATATAATTCAAAAAGTGCTGATATGATATGAAATATGATTTGAGCTTTTTGCACCTTCAACTTGAGTTTGTGAATATTTATCAAAGAGTCTAATGAAATTTCAGATTTTGAATTTAATGTTGCAATTGCATTATTGTGTTGTCATAGCATGTACAGTTTAATACAAAAAGTGCTGATATGAGGTATGGATCCAAGATTAGCTTAGTGTAATGTAAAAGTCCACGCAGTAGGTACAACTACTTATTTTTTAAGTTTGATCATACTAGGTGCTACATCCCATATGTAAAATAGTATGCATTGGCTAGGTTTAGGGACTTTTAGGCACTTACATACAAATTATTATAAAAGTACAAATTTATTAATACTATTTAATTAGAAGCATCATATCAAATCAGCAGCTGATCAACCACAAAGGTATATATACCATCCTCACATCTACCGAAAACAACAACCTGTACGTAGATTTAAACCCCAACATATTTCAATTTTTCAGAAAATCTTCATCGGGGGACATAATGGGCAATATTTGTACATGGAGAACTTTAGTGTAGAATATAGCTGAATGACACAATGAATCAAAAGAGAGTAACGTCCCAATAGAATATTTAGCCAGGGGAGCTCAAGGGGGTGCTATAGGTCTCCACAGGACTATCCTCTAGATGGGGTTCTAGAGACCCCAACAAGCTGAATTCCCAACATAGAGGAATATATGGATTTCTTCCATGTAAAGAAAAGATGTTACCTCCAAAAGGTATCTCCAGGAAGTAGGAGCAGTAAAGATTGTAAATCTAAACGATTCACTAGCATAATACATTTCTTCCATTAGAATATTAAAACCAAAAAGGCTTGTTCGCAATGTTTGTATCCACTGCTCAAACTGTTGGCACAATATAAAACCTATATAATAATAACCATAATAATTATTAACCCAAACAACATTTTACTTCAGTTCATGTGATACATGTGAGGAAACGTGCAGAATCCTTTTAATGCAGCTTCATCTTTTTTTTTTTTTTTTTCCAAAATAAGTGTTTATTGAAGAAAAACACAGATTTACACCAAAAAAGTTTGCAAACAGGGTGAACATAAGACATGTTGCAAAACATATATCAGGGTTGTGCCTGCAATGTTCCGGTATGCTTGTCAAACGATTAAAGCAGGGAGGCCTTCCACATTAATGTCTCGAAGTGTGGTGCTATGGAGGAAAGGAGGGTGCGTACGATGTCTAAGCAGAAGTCAAAGCTACAAGTTTGAGATACTGGAGGTAGCTGAGTGTGTATATGGGAGTAAATTGTCGTGGGAACCGGTAATGGAGAAAGGAAAATGATGTTGTCAGCATGCCTAATGTTCTGCGGAATGATTATCCAAAACGTATACAAACATAGGAGAGGAAAGAAAGAGGAGAAGAGAGAGAAGCGAGAAGAAAGGAAAGAGAAAGAGAAAAAAAAAAGGGGGAGGGGGGGAGAGGGAAGCGCGTGGGTAGGAGGAAGTAAGGGAGGGGGTGACTGCAAAAATTGTTTGATCATCAATACGGGCCATATCGGGTGCGGTAGGAGTCTAAGCTAACATTGGTGTCAAATGATTGTGGGATGAACACAAGGGGGGGGGGGGGATATGATGACCGCCATCAGATCAAATGCAGCTGAGTAGCATCAGCAGAGCTTCATCTTTTTAATTCACAGTTTTCATAATCTTCTGATCATGTTGATCTTGCTATTCACAAAGTTTTTGAGATTCTTTCAAATTTTCCCCTCTAATGACTTATTTTTCTTTCAAAGTGCACTTGTATATACATTGATTTCTTATCTGAAGTAGTAATTTTTTTGGTTTGCTTAAATAAAATATGCAAGAAAGCTCTTGTCCTCTTTATCTTGAGAGCAGACTTTTTTTTTTGCTGAGAGAAATTGCAGAGAAATCACTTTTTCTTTAATGAAGTGCATTTGCTGCTAATCTCTACATGGCTCTAAAAAATAACATTGTTAATCTCATCATTCTTTTCATTGTGGCTATATTTGCTATATTCAGATAAAGATCTTAACATTCTCTGCAGAAATGGGGTGGCATTTTTTTGCACAGCAAGTAATAAGATGTGCTGCCTCTGCATTCACTTAGCTAATGATGTCTTCAAGAAAAGCTTAAGTTCTAATTAGCGTTGTCTCTTGTAAATAACTGAACTATATTTATTTAGATGCTAATCATGTTGAAACAAGAAGTAAAATTCATAGTCTAAATAGGATACTGGCCAGTGTAGACAGAAGTATTCTGTTCCCCACATTGCATGTGTTTCATATTCCAGGCATATACTGTAGATATACACTATATTGACAAAAGTATTGGGACACCCCTCCAAATCAATGGATTCAGGGGTTCCAATCATCACCTTGGCCACAGGTGTATAAAATCAAGCACCTACGCATGCAGACTGCTTCTACAAACATTTGTGAAAGAATGGGTCGCTCTTAGGAGCTCAGTGAATTCAAGTGTGGTACCGTGATAGATTGCCACCTGTGCAATAAGTCTATCCATGAAATGTCCTTGCTACTAAATATTCCACGGTCAACTTTTAGTGGTATTATATCAAAGTGAAAGCAACTGGGAACAACAGCAATGTAAAATGACAGCGTGGGGTCAGCGCATGCTGAAGTGCAGAGTGCGCAGAAGTCACCAACTGTCTGCAGAGTCAATAGCTAAAGACCTCCAAACTTTGTGTGGTCTTCAGATTAGCACAACAACAATGCATAGAGAACTTCATGAAATGGGTTTCCATGGCCAAGAAGCTGCATCCAAGCCTTACATCACAAAGTGCAATGCAAATTTTGGATGTAGTGGCGTAAAGCGCGCCGCCACTGCACTCTAGTGTTCTCTGGAGTGAGGAATCACACTTCTCTATCAGGCAACTCGATGGATGTGTCTGGGTTTGGAGGTTGCTAGGAGTGTGGCACTTGCCTGAGTGAATTGTGCCAAGTGTAAGGTTTGGTGGAGGGGGGATTAGGGTATGGGGTTGTTTTTTCAGGGTTTGGCTTGGCCCCTTAGTCCACTAAATGGAACTCTTAAGGCATCTGCATATCAGGACATTTTGGACAATTGCATTCTCCCAACTTTGTGAGAACAGTTTTGGGATGGCCCCTTCCTGTTCCAACATGACTGCGAACCGGTGCACAAAGCAAGGTCCATAAAGACATAGATGAATGAATTTGGGGTGGAGGAACTTGACTGGCCTGCACAGAGTCCTGACCTCATCCCAATAGAACACCTTTGGGATGAATTAGAGTGGAGACTAGGAGCCAGGCCTTCTCGCCTGGCATCAGTGCCTGACCTCACAAATGGGCTTCTGGAAGAATGGTCAAACATTCCCATAGACACACTCCTAAACCTTGTGGACAGCCTTCCCAGAAGAGTTGAAGCTGTTATAGGTGCAGAGGGTGGGCCAACTCAATATTGAACCCTACCGACTAAGACTGGGATGCCATTAAATTTTATGTTCGTGTAAAGGCAGGAGTCCCAATACGTTTGGCAATATAGTATATATATATATGAAACACTCAGTGAAGATCACTTAATCGGGAACTTCTCTCAAAAAACACCATTCATCGCCCCCCCTCCCCAGCCTGTAACTGAGTAACAGGATTTTTGGTGGATGGGAGTCCCTTTTTTTGTCAGCACCAGCTCTCACTTTCTCAATCCTATGCAAGGATGGATGGATAATCTCAGCCCCATTGTTCACCTGCAGTCTCCTGGGACACATCATATGTCCCAGGAGGCTGCAAGACAATATCTTGATCATGTACGGTGGGGAGCTTGCTGTGATTCATTCACAGCCAAATCCCAAATCCAAGATGGTGGCACAGAGGATCCAGCAGCAGTGAGAATTGTCTGTGGGAAGAGAATGCTGGACCTCATGGGCTGGTAAGTACTCATTTTTTAAAAGTCACCACCTGCAGTATTTGCACAGTATATGCTGACTTTTAATTTTTAAAATATTGGGAGAATTTCCTCAGTGAAAGTTTTTTCATTGTTTATTTTGGCTGTTTCCACCTATATATTAAACTCAAATGAAGCACCTGTGGCAGTAAAAGCTTGTTTCAGTGTAACAACTTTAAGAATGCTCTCGCCCAGCCGCATGTATATAGTGCCTTGGTGGGAGTTTCCTTGATTCAGGAGGACATACCTCCTATTCTAACTGCTCATGCATCACCCAAGAACACGTGATCACCATGTTCCTACCACACCAGTCATATTGCCCCTAATCACTGCCATATCAGTCATATTGTCCCTAATCAGCACCACACCAATTACAGTGTTTTGGGATTCTCTGTAAGGTTATGTTGTGAAAATGTCACACATGTGGTATCACCATAGTCAGGAGGAGGAGTAAATGTGTTAAATACTTATTGTGTTTTGTAATCTTATTAATTACATAGTTTGTAGATTCTATAACTTTCACACAGACTAAATAATATACACTTTTGGATTATTTAAACCAAATAAATGTAGCAGAATACATTTTGGCCTAAAAATTTCAAAATGTTCAGTCTTTTTTTTTAGCAAAAAATAAAACAAAACCAGTGGTGATTAAAATACAGGTTAACATATTGCATTATTTTGTGTTTTTGGAAAGCTGTGCAAGAGGCATGAGTATTTATAGTCAGTTGAAAAGTGGAAGCATTTGCATGAAAAGTTTTAATTTGCAGTTAATTTGATATAACCACTGTTTGTCAGCTATACAAAAAAAAGTACCAATGTGTAAGATTTTATCGCACACTTTTACAATCAACAAGGGGTAACTAAAAGTTGTAAAGAGACTATAAAACCAGTGCCTAAACTACAGGTGCATTAGTCCAAAAAGAAAACAAAACAAAAAATACTAAATATTGTAATGTGTCCAGGACCCCAGTCTCAGAGTAGTGACAGCAAATACGTATCCTTTATTTAAAAGAAGAAAAAAAAAAGCAGCTTATTCTCTTAAATAGAACAGGAATTAAGTTTGGTGCTGTCCTCTTAATTGCTAAATCAATAAGACGTAAAGCCTTTGATGAAGTAAAATTAATGTACTGTGTAAGGCGGAATTGTCCTTGAGTGACGTCCTCATGCTAGTTGGGAGCTGATGTATCGGCATAAGGAGCTGGGGACAAGTATGGATGTTGTAGAACTATTGAGTACTGTTTGCTGTAGAGCAGAAGCCTGACATTTTAATGTGTTGTAAACCATTTTAATAAATATTGAGGGAAACTGTGGGCAGTATGTTTGTCTCTGCTTTACTGAGGTTTTAATGGGGGGGGGGTACTGCATTGAGAGATCTCGTTAATGTAGAAAAAAATCCCCTAAGATATTAGGATATTAGGATTTCTGTGAGTGTGTTGAATCTGCTGTCTTTTTTTCACTTCCCCAAAATGGACATACCCATACATCCTCATGTTTCAGTGGTTCTTTGTCATGGTTGTAGCTGCAGTCATGACCTTGATATCTCTCTTTTTTAGAGCCAACCATGCTCTATAATGTAAAGGTGATCCGAGCAGCTATACAGCCACTGGATCAGTTTTACATGTGGAGGAATGTGGAGGAATATGGTTCCCCCTCGCAGGCTCTTCCATTCCACTGTGGAGCACAGGACTGAAACTGGCAGTTGGAGCAGTGCACCATAGATAAAAGACTTCTGTTTCCCAATCATCCCTATGGTCTATGAAACAGGAAGCGCCAAAAATTTTGCACTTCTGGTTTCAGTTTGATGTTTATAAACCATTACCGGCTTGTACAGCATCTGATCAAATCAATCTCAATTTGATCAGATGCTTTTGAGGGCAGAGGAGAGACTTGGGGTCTAATAGAACCCAGTTCTCTCAGTAAAGAGTACCTGTCATTGTTCATCCCTAAAAAGACAGAAAGAAAGACAGCATAGGGACAAAAAAGGGACAGTGTAAAAAAATACATTTATATACAGTAACAAATAATAATAATAATTAAAAAAGCACCTTCCATCCCCTGTGCGCATGTGCAAATGCAAACGCACATGTCGGTCCCACGCGCATATTTAAACTGCGATTGTACCACATGTGAGGTATTACTATGAATATCAGAATGAGCACAATAATTCGAGCAGTAGACATTTTACAGTATGGTACTCTATACTGGTAACCTGTAAAGGCTTTTGAAGCATCACCTATGGACATTTTAAGTACGGTACTGTAGTTTGTCTCCATTCCATGGGCATGCACAATTTTAAAGTGTGACATGTTAGGTATCTATTTCTCAGTGTCTTTTATATTTGACCCAATCATAGAGTATTATCAATTCACACATGCAAAAGATAAGTGCTGCAATCATCATAACATATTCCAGAAGCAGTATAGATCTCACCATCCGCTGAACCAATAAGTCAATTATATAGGATCGGCAACAAGGTGAGGATGAAATGTAGAGGCTTTATTTGAATACAGAATAAAAAATGTTCCCAAAGACAAGCAACACTAATGCCTTTCAGTCAAACAAGACCTTACTCATAGTTGACTAATAGGGTATTATATTGTGTTTGTGTGCACTAATATTCATTAAAGTGTATTCTTAAAAAAACTGTATTTAAAAACCGCTGTAAAAATATTGTGCAACAAAAATAATTGCAACCACCAAAATGTTTGCTTTAAGAAAATATATACTGTTTGGGGTTCTAATTAATTATCTAGTAAAAAATGTTGATTTTTTTACAAGTATGTGAGAATTGTCATTGGCCTGGGAGTCAAGTGGTTATGTTATTGATATTGGGGAGTGGTGAGCACATGTTTTTTTTCGGCTTTTGAGGATCTTGAGCGTGGAGAATTGATTTGAGAAGTGTTGATTGAAAGCTACCAACCTGAGAAATCATAAAGGGCCAGCTAACCTCCTATTACTTAGAGGTATATTTTGTGTGTTGAGCATAATACCATAAGTGTGGGTGAAGGGTAAAACACCATGGATGGTAAGAATAGAGAATTGGTGTGTGCACACAAATGTTTGATGTGAGTGCTTTAATCCACTTATTTTTTTTATATTTACATTTGTAAATGTAGAACACTATGTTCTATGAACACTTTTTGTTTTCACAGAGGACCCGAGTATGAATGTTCACAGAAAGAATCATCCTTGTTCTAGAGCTGTCCTCCATTCATCAGTCAAGCACGAACAACCTTAAAATGAAGTCCAAACAGTGCTCTGAACAAAATTCTCCTCCATCTCCCAAGATGGCTCTAGAACCATCTGATGCTGGTGATTTGGCATAATAAAGTTTATTACTAATGATGACCTATAGGTACAATGAAAAAAATACATATTACATACATACACATGTATGTATGTATGTATATTTGTGTGTGTGTATATATATGTGTATGTGTGTATGTGTATATATATATATATACACACACACACATAAACATACACATACATAGTGTATGCATTTTTATTATAATAGAAGCAATGTATTTGGCTGTTGTAAGCAGATGCGGTGCAGTTTACATGCTCACCCTATTGAAGAACTTCATGAATGTATATATTTGATATGTTTATTGTATGTTTTGTGCTAAGATTCTCTGTATTTATCTACAATTGAATACACTGTCCTCTACCAACACTTCTTTGGCCATATTTTATTTGGATGCTGTAATATGTGGTATCACTTATGAAAGTGCTGAAATTCATCTGAATGTATTTAACATT